GTCTCCCATACTTTGGACGTATTGTCAGGAGGGACCAGTTGCTAGAGAAAAATACCATGTTTGGTAAGGTGGAGGGTCAGAGAAAAAAAGTAAGACCCCCAGTGAGATGGATTGGCAAAATGGAAGCATCAATGGGCTCAAGCGTGGCAACAATAGTGAGGTTGGCCTAGGATCAGGCAGTGTTTCGTTCTGTTGTGCGTTGGGTCGCTATGGGTCGGTACTGAGTCGATGGTACCTGATGACAACAGCAGCAGCAGGAGTCCTGGAATGGTGCTATTGGACATTGCACTGGACCACAAAGTCACTGGTTAAAATTCACCAGCCACTCCTCAGAAACCCCTATACAGGATCGCTGAGTCATAACCAACTGGACAGCACTTAACATCAAAGACAATCACTTGAGACAATGCCTTTCCTTTGCATGCTTCCCAACTGTCCACCACACTAGTCCCTGTTTCTAGGAGCCCAGCAGTACTGGCCCAGAGCAGGTACCTGCTGAATCCAGTTGTCAGAATAGACAAATATTGCAGCAAGGCAGGAGGAGGAGTCATGTGACTTCAGTTTAGAGAGTCCAATCCTTTTAAGACACTTTTGCCAAATTGCAGATGTGCTTTTAAAAAGCAACCCAGAAGTTTTCTGATAGGATTTTCCTCTCTCCCAAACCTGAGCATTAGCCTTGAAAAGAGTCCCTCTGACAGGAACAAGTCTTAGGGTTTCAAGCATGTACTTGGTCACTCAAGGTCAAAGCTTTTTCTAGGTGGCTTTTCTCAGGGAGACCTGGGAAAAGGGATCTCCTGGAGGTGACCACACAGCTTCAGTTCTCCACCAAAACAGGACAGCAGAAGGCATTCTGGGAACCTTGTACTCAGGGCCTGCGAAGTGCAGACACACAGGGCAGAAGGCCTAGGAGTCAACTTGAATGGTAAGGGCACAAAGGGAGGAGTGAGAGGCTTTTCTACCTTTTGACAACAAGGAAGCAGAAAAGACGGGAGCAATTTGCCAGAACTGAGAGATGGTTCTGCTGTAATTTACATCAGGGGAGACCAAGCCTCCTGTCCTCTTGCCTAGAAATAAATGGCATCAATCAACTGACAAATTGTTTCTCTTGCCTCCTGATTTTTTTTTTTTTTTTACACATAAGGAGCATGTGCTCCTCTTTACCCATAGTCTGTGTTTAATTTCCTTTATTCACACCTAGAAGAGCTGAAGACTGTCTAACTGACCTCTGACAAGCAGATCTCAGGAGACACAGCACAAGTGTCTCCTCGGCCTCCCTGCTGCTGCCCCAACCCCAGGGGTGCCACCCTGTGAATCTGGTCTCTTGTGAGCAGCAGCCCCTGAGGCAGGTGACTTCGGGATGCTTCATCCATATTGTTCTGTGTGCTGCATGCACATTGACAGATGGGCAATCTGAGGTACAATGACCCAAGCCACAGAGCTGCTAGTGTGTGTCCTGCTGGAAGACTGGTGGTACTGCATGTCTGTCAGCACATCAAGAGTGAGGATGGGGCAGCCAGCTGCTTCTCAATGGAAGATGTTCTAGGAAATGTTTGTTCCTGGCTCAGCAGGCTAGTTCGTCCTCTGAAGACAGAACACTCTAACCCTTCAGACCCAGCAAAGCTTCTGGGCTCCCAGCTTCCGTCAGCCCCTCACTCGGCATTGCCTTAGTGGTCTGGGCCTCAGCTGCTCACTGAAGGGATCAAGCCTCAGAAACCTGTTCTGTCTTTGAAGCTGACAGCTTGTTGCCTATGGAAATGCAGTACTATTTCAGGGTTTCATTTTAAAAGAGGTTTCAAAGGGGAAGCTGGAAGGCTTTGCTGCGTTGCTCATTAGGGCTTATCTTGTAGCCGCTTCCCGGCTGGGGAGCCCAGTGCTGCGTCTGTGTCTTTCCTGGGGACTGTTTTCAATGAGCACCTGGCATAGTTAGAGGCCTGGTAACTCTCGAACTTTCTCCCAAGAAGCCACCAGCACTTGTTCACTGGGTGCCTTTCTGACATGATCTGTGTCTGAAATGACCCTCCAGGGAGTCAGAGGATGACATGCCTTGTTCAGAATGTCAAAACCAAAAAGGTCATGCAAATGCTCGTAGGGAACCAGAGTGGTTGTGACACATGAAGCCTTGGAGGCACATGGCAGCAGCACCCAGGATGCGAAGGTGGGTAACAGTTTTCTCTCTCACTGGGACCACCCCACTGCCTCATGCTCTTCAATTCTTTGGGGGATGGGAATGACAGAAGGAAGGTAGAGGGGCAAGGCCTGGAGCCAATCTGGCCCTGCCAGGGCCATCCCTCTAAGAGTGCACCATTCCTGTCAAGTATCGTCATCTTCTCACTTGAGGACCAAGTCCCATCTTATTTCTCTTTGAATTCTCACAGCTGGCAGAGAAAGGATTCAGTATGTGATCAGGAATAGAGGTGCAATCTAGTAATCTGGGAAGAAAGGAGGCACATACGGACAGCAATAGAAGAAAGGCGAGAGGCTACGGTCTGAAATGGATACGGATCGAGGTTTTAGGGACATGGAATGCCTCTGTTACCTCAGCAAGGACAGTACTGCAGCTTTGAAGAGACAGGAGACAAAGAGGATCGGGCCCCTGTGAGCATAGCCTGCATGCTACCAAGTCCAGGTAAGTACATGGGGATGCTGCTGTAGAGGTGCTCTCCCAGGGGCAGCTTGGCTGAATTGTAGATAGGCTCTGTCACCTGCTTGGCTCTCCTTCAAGATTGACCACTAGTGTGGCATCTGGACTCCGGGTACTGGCACAGCGATGCCCCCTCACAACTAGAGCACCTTTAGTGTAAGGTTCCATTCCAGAGGCAAAGTCACCAGGAATCTCCCTCATCATGGCCCACCAGACAGTTCTTCTCTGTCCTTCAAGCCTCACAGCTTTTTGGAAACCTTTTTCCCCTGTTGTTCCTCACCCCTGGCTCCCAATAACAAAACAGGGCCTGGAGAGAAACTCCATTCACCAGGACCTTGGCAAAAGGTTGATGAGGCCCTCTCATGACTCGCCCTGGATCCTCCCTGACCAATGCTTCCAACCACATCCATCTGTGAGGCTTGAGAGGCAAGGGCTTCTGTGACGAGGGCTCGCGCTCGCTCCCTGCCTGGCTCTATTTATAACAGAGAAGCGTTCTTTCTGAGGGAGCACACCGCTCATTTTCGTGGCATCTGATGACTCACACTCCTCACGTGATGGGTTCACTGGGAGCGTAAGGAGGCAGTGTTGGCTGATGGCTGGGCGGTTACACTGCACTGGGGGCTGAGGGGCAGCGAGGTAGTGAATATGGGTCCTCACAGAACTCACCAGCTGTTTACCGAGCTAGTACACAAATTGGAGTCTCTCTCTCTCTTTTTTTTTTTGCTTGGTTCTAAAAGCTGTGGAATTTTTGAAAAGGCAGGAAAAACCCCTAATTCATGGGTTGCCAGGATAAAATTCGTGAAAAACATGAGCTAAATTTAACTGAGAGCAACTTTCTAAACCTTAGCAATAGAGAATTCTGGTACACCAAGGCAGCCAGGACAATGAAACAACCAGAGGCCAAGAAAGAAAGCAAGGCACACCACCACCAAAATTCCACAGAAGCTAGGCTTGTTCTATTTGGTAAACTGTTTGGTCCAGACACACTGCATCTTGTTGAGATGGTCTGCTTGTCTAGCTACAGCTGCTAGAAGGATCTTTTCATCTTTAAGATGTGACACTCTCATTGAACCTATTTCTGGAACTCTCTGTGAGAGCCAATTTCAGCTGCCTTCTCAGCTCACTCTGCACTCAAAAGAGACCAATTTCCAATTCTTCCTCAGAGTTCCAGTGAAATGAGCCGAGAAGACCCCACAGTGCTCTTAGGGGAGTACGACAGTGGTGGCTTCATTTGTGGCTGTGGGTCTTGCTGATGAGATGGCCTTTGCGGGAATAGAACGAAGTTCCCAATGAGACTAGGGGACCAGTGACAGATTCAGAGCCCAGTCCTGTGTACAGCCGAGAGCCTATTGCATCTGGCAGCCAGAGGTGGGCAGCAATTCCTGCAAATGGGTGGCTACTGCTTTCGTTAGGTACGTCATTGTCCCATAGGCTCCACTGGGTGCACTGTCATAAAAAAAGTGGCAAATCCCTGTAGCTTGGTCTTTCTCCAGGGTGTCCAGGGCACCTAGGGCAGTCTGCAACACAAAGAGAATAGCAGGCAACCTCTCTCATTTCAGGGACTCTGCAAGTTGCAGGGTGGTGGTCCCATGGGCTGGTGCAGGGCTGGGGTTATGACAGTTGGTCATGGTGTGGAGTTGCCCGGCTTTACCAGGCTGCCAGGGGCTGACCTGTCTTTGCTCTGGCATGTGGCCCAGTTTTCCAGGTACTGTCTCTGCGAGGAGGGCACTGAGACCAGGGTGGTGACTTACCCAGCTCACATGTGGCAGGTGGGGCTGTTTGGGCCTGCCCACCTCCCAAAGTCTGGGGCTTTCCCAGGTGGCCACCATGCCATTTTCTCAGCCAGTGACAACATTTTCTTTGTGTCTGTTTGTTCCTATGGGATGCTGAGTCTGCAATTTTGGCAGAGATGAATGACAGCTGCAAAACACCCACCTGGTCCTGCAGGAACAGCTGGTTGGCCATCCGCACGATCTGGTCCACGTGGATGATGCCCCCAAGGCTGTTCATCTCTGTATCTGAGAGTAGTGTCAGCACCAAGATCGCTTCCACCAGCAATTGCCGGTACTCAGGCTGGGGCACTCGGTTCAGCACTGACTCCACATGGACAGCAAACTTGATCTCATGTGAGGTCATCTGCCAAAGGGACCAGCAGTGGCCAGGACTGAGGCGACCAAGCCCCTCTGCCCAATGCAGGCTGTGCTTGAGGGCTCTGTTTAGTGTCACTTCCTTTCTGGCACTTCCTAATAGTGCCAGCAGGACTCATGGGGGTATTAGATGCAGGGCCCGCCCCTAGGAGCTACTAGGCTTGGGCTTCCTGGGACAGGGACCGTATCTTTAGTTCGTCATAATTCCTGGGTATGGTGCCTTGGGCAGGGTAAAAACAAACATCAGTTCAAAAAGAAGAATTAGGGGCCAATAAGCCCAGGGAGATATGGTTGTTTTCAGCTGAGAAGAAGGGACCAGGGGAGGTAGTGTATGTATGGGTCCAGCATGTGTGGCGCAGGGCTCCCCCTCACTTTTCTTAAGGTGACCCCAAGATGTCTGTGCCTAGAGGAGCAAATTTCAGATCTTCTGGCCAAAAAATGCTATCTATGAGGGCAAGGTCATGCCAATCAACCTGGGGAAGCAGTGGGCCAAACTGTGAGGGTGAAATGCAGCTGCAGGGCCTGTGGACAACCAAGGCCGAACCAGCATTTGGGGTTTTTGCCATCATACCTCTTGTGTTGTTGACGAGGGGAGGACATAGCCATCAATGGAAAGACCGTGGCACTGCAGGCAGAACACATAGCATTTCTGTCAGAATCCAGAACGTGACTAGAAACTGCACGTGTGTGCGTTATGTGCACACATGCAAACGGGCACCTCAAGTTGTTCTGCCCTGGAAACTCGCACAAGGGCTGGAACACGCCAGACTGCGTGTTATTTTTAGACAGCTTGTTCTCACTGCCCACAGGCTGTTTTCGGTGGAACGATTCTAGGGAAAGCAGCAGGCATCTTTCAGATCTCGCAGGAACAATGCCCTGGGGAGCTGCCGAGGTCTCCTCTGTGGTGGCTCGCTTGCTCGCTCGATTGGCATTGAATTTAGCAACCAGGCCTGGTGGCTGTAAGACCCCCTTAAGTGCCCTAATAACGGGTGGGTGAAGTGATGCTCTGCGCCTTTGCAGCCATGTCTATAATCAGCACCAATCACAAAGGCCCCAGGCACATGCACAGACACACGCCCTTGGGTATAAATAGCAAGCAACAGCACACCAAGACGTGCTGCCTCTTGAGAATAAAAGATGTTTGATAGCTAGCCTAGGGGCAGGCCAGTGCAAGTGGGCAATGCCCCAGGACAAATGGGGAGAGTTTCGAGGAATAGTTTCTGAGATCTAATTGGTGTCGTTCTAAATCAAGATTCCATCTCTGTGCCTCAGCACTAAGACTCCACAACTTAACATGCCAGAGCCTGGGAGTTGGCCTAATCTCAGGCCTGATGGCTGCTCCATCTTTCCATCACTGTTTATTTTCACCCAGTGGCTTCCTAGGCTCTTTATTCCTACTTGTCACGTTTGGCCCTCTACAACCTGGGCTCTCCCTTGTCTTATTTGCTGTGGTTTCAGGGTCACTGGACCTCTCTCTTCCACTGAGCAACAAGGGCTCCACGGGGGTCATCTCCCGCCAGAGAACACCTGGCCAGGTCTGAGACGTTTTGTCTGGCACAACTGGGTAGGAAGTGCTATGGCCATCTGGTGGGTGGAAGTCAGGGAGGCTGCTTTAGACCCTCTAGTGCACAAGCCAGTCTCCTTCAGAGAAGCTCTGAGCTTGCCAAGCACAGGGCTGCTTCTGCAGCCCCATGGTACCTGACATTTAGAGGAGAAACCCCCAGTACCAAGCTCACCTTCTGCAGGATCTGCCACACTTTCTGGTAGAATCCCACAGGGACCCTGTTAATGGCTCCATCTAGCCGTCTCCTGCGTAGCCATTGGCCCTGCCGCTCTCCCCAGCCGATGTGATGCCCTCCTGAGTCTGACGACGAGGTTCCTGTGGGTGAGGAGGGGGTGCTGGATCTCTGCAAGACAAGATAGCACATTGCCGTCACAGTGGCTGGTCTAACGGCAGGCACCCTGCTGAGTGTTTCCCATCAAAGAGGGCTCAGCTAACTAACTGCTGCCACCAACAGAATGCCACCTGCCCAGTGACGATACAGCTCCTGGATTCGATCTGACTCATTCCAGTCTTCTTTCCTTCACTGGTGAGATGACATATTCCTTCTATGTATTCTACGCAGCCCCAGAGGTAGTAGCACTGCCTCCGGAACTCCAGTGGACAGGTAGGAGGCTGGCACGGTGGGGCGGGCACTGGAGGGAGAGGGTTTGGGTGCCAACTCCAACCCAGCCCTGGCTGAGGCCAATCCTCATCTTGGCTACTTTCATCTGAAAGCAGGGGCTAAGGAGGTCCTTCACTGAGTAGAACTGATCAAACCCTGGGAGCTGTGTAGGCTGGTGGTGAGGGCTCATTAAGGATCGGTTGTTGTGACCTGGGCCTCTGTTATGAGCTTGGTGCCCAGAGTCCCTCCGTCACAGCAGGAGAGCCCCAAATCGTGACGTTCTGAAGTGCCCACCACCAAGGTAGGCAAGTGTCAAACTGCCTATTCCATTTCAGTGGTTCCACAGAGAAAGAGCAGGCACCTTCCCATAGGAAATTGTAACGTGTAACACAATCTCGGGGAAAGGTTTGCAGCCCAAAACAAATGTAAAAAGAACAGGGGCATGGGACTTGGAGAGGATGGTCTCCCCTTCCCCTCCCCTCGCCCCCCGGTCTCGCCCACTTTCTACTTGTCCTGTTCTTGTCTTCTGCTTCCAGCCAGTGGCTGTCATGGCGTGGGCTAGGAACAGTACTCTCCAGAAGCAGAGGATGAGGACAGCAGCATCCACCCACCTCCTCTGGGGCCCGGTGTCTGAGCTGAGCTGGCTACATGGTTGTAGAGGCAGTTGGGAAGGTTCCAGGGGGCAGGAGGCCATGCTGGACTCGGGGGCTCGCCTGACAGGGGTGAGGGAGGGGGGGGATCATACCAACCCACCCTCAATGCAGCCAAGCTACTTTCCGTCCCAGACCCTACCTTCAGGCCAGGGAGGTAACACCTCTATCCTGAGACCGTCCCTTGGTTCTGGACTACTGTATACTTTAATTTCTAAATGCACGTAAAACGTTAATAGGTGGAAAAAGGGAGCCCCATCTTCAATGTACTATAGAGCTGGAGGTGGGCTTAGCTCCCCAAACCCATTCCTCAGAGCTTATTTTGAAAAGGCTGGGTTATTCCATTGGGCTTGTTAAGTGCTATGAAGTCAGTTCTGACTCAGAGCAACCTTGTATAGGGTTTCTAAGGTGCGGTTCCAGACAAGGCACAGGAGAGCATGTTTTGAGGTTTTGGAAGTTTCAAGAAATTGGAGAGGAAAGCACTCCCCCCACATCCTACTGAAGAGCAGAAGCAGAGAACTGAGACTTGGCTCCAACCAGAAAACAAAGGTCAGTTCAAGAACCTCTCAGTCTTCTAAGATGCTTCTCAAAATACTAACTTGGGGATGCCCTCGGTGTTAAATGAAAACACTTAGCTTCTGTTTAAGTTTGGGGAAGTTGAGGAGGTGGGAGGTGGAGACGAGGCTCCGGACACTACAGACAAGGGGGCAGTGACAAGTTCAGGGTCCCCGCATTGTTTACCACAGATTTGGAGGAATGCACACTACTCGATATGGTTGGGCCCACAGAAAAGAACTACAAAAAAAGAGTTATCTCAATCAGGTGCTGGGACCCTGGGGAGGAAAAAGAAGAAGGCAGAATAGCATTAGAATCCCTCAAGGAAAGAAGGGTCAGAAGGGGGAGCAGAGACATTTCCATTCTCCTCAGCCGACCTCCCTGCCCTAGAGGCCATCTGGTAGCCATGGGGATCAATTTGATAGAGAACTTGGCAAACTGTCTTCTAGATAAACATCAAGTTAGGTCATTTTCCAAAGCCACACCATGAAGTGGTGATCTTTTCTAACGTAACAAGCCTCCAGTGACTATTTAAAAAAAAAAAATTTTTTCTCACCTAAGAATCTAGAAGTTTCCTTTCACTTGCAGGGATATATAGTGCAGGAGTATACATGGATGGACACATGGTATTTTTGAAGAGAAATTTAAAATGACAAGGAACGTATTACATTTTGAACTGTTAAGTGCCGTCGAGTCAGTTTCGAACCATAGCGATGCTATACGAGGGGGCTTCAAAACATTTGTGAGAAATAATTTTAATTCAAATTTTTCATGAACTTTTTGAAGCCCCACCCCCTATTTGTACTGCCTTAATGCATGTGACCCAATACAAAAACTCTGGCCTGATTGACTTCAAATCTATCATGGCAGGAAGGAGACTCCTTAGTCCCCACAACGTGCTAGGACAGCCCATCTTCACCAACAGCCAGTCTCTGGGCTGAGGGTGACTGGAGGGAGAGTGCCACCGAGTGGCCAGCAAAGGGACATGCTCTGAAAGAGGGTTCCTGGCTTGTAAAGAATAGACATTTGGGTGAGATCATATATTTTTTTTACAAAGGGTAGGTGCCACGTGATAGTGATATGCTAGTATGCTTTTCCTCTACACACTGAAGTACATACAGACGTGCATATGGGGGGTGGGGAACAGGCCCAGGGTGGTATGAAAGAGTGAGCTATCTTTTTTCTTCCACGTTGAACTCCCAAGTGATCAGTGATTACTGTAAATGCTGTTGGTGGGTTAGCAGCATGGTGTCAGTTTGAACTCAGAGCGACCCCGAGTGAGAGAACCGCACTCTAGGGTTTTCTAGACTGTCATCTTTAGTAATAGCTCATCAGCTCTTGCCTGTGGGGCCAGAGGGGTGGTTTTGAACGTGGTTAGTACAAGGCTTTTCCGGAAGGATAGGCTATTCTGCACTACATCTTTCTTTTCCCTTGATTATTCCCTGCAATGGACTTCTGGTGTGGTGCTATAGATCAGCACTGGACTGCGAACCATAAGGTCATCAGTTCAAACCAACCAACAGCTCCTTGAACACTCTAGACAGGGTTGCTGTAAGTCAGAACCAGTTTGACAGCACTGACAATTCTTTGAAAAGGAGGGGGTAGTCTTTGGGAGGTACAAATGATTGACATGCTGGGCCGTTTACTGAAAGGCTAGAAGAAAGGCCAGTTCAATTCTGGGGGTCACCGTAAGTTACACTCAACTTGGTGGCAATGGGCATTTTTATCCCTATTATTTTGAGTAGAAACCCAGGACATCTTTTATAAAGTATGCCAAAAATGTTTGTTTTTCAAAAGAGCCTGGGGTAAAGTCTTCACACATCGTCGCTCTCCATATTCAAGCCAGAAAGAAAAAAGTGCCCAAGCCCAGGACCAGACAAAGCAAAGATGGTTCGTTCACCTGCTCATCAGCACTAAATAGCCTGGTGATCTGCAAGTAAGAGTGCAATGGAGTCAAGAAGAGCTGGCTCTGCTCAGGGAGCCTGCCACTGCTGTCCCCACTAGGTGGGACCGCTGCTAGGTCACCATGACCTGCTTTTGAAATAGAAAATTGGACAGTGTTCCTCTCTGCAGGTCATGGTGTGTAGTACCTGGTCCATTAGGACTGAAAAGATGTTGCACTGCAGTTGGGGGTGGGGGTGGGTAGACAAGAGGCTACTCCGTGGATGAGGGAATGCAGGTGTGTGAATGTTGTCACTAGTCCACAGCAAGGATGCATTGGTTGGAGAGGTGACTACTTTTTCATGGTTGTGGCCCACTTGAAAGAGTGGTGCTGGGGGACTGAGGCTAACATGCAGAAGGGTGTTTTCCAGTATTTTCTGGGATATGAGTTCAGGAGGAGGGTATGGGGGTACATGTGGCCTCCACATGGGTTTCTGTTCCTTTCTGCAGTCAGTTCAGGGAGGCACACCACTTCCAGCCCCAAGCTGCCATTGCCGGCACTGCTGAGACCTCCTTACCTGCTTCATCTCACTCCTTAGCCTGTTAATGCCACTCCTCTCTGTTTTGGTGACACCAGTGTGTCCCACTTCATGGATGGAGATGGCAGGACTGGATGTAGCAGAGTGGATCGGTCGCACTGGATAGGAGACACAAAAGGGGCTCTTTGAAATGAGAGTCCCCACTCTGACATGTCTGCGATACATTTGCTTTTGTTTTCTACTTCTCCATTAGGTCACCAACTCCCTTCAGCAGGGGCTCACTGGCCCTGGCAGCACTGTTACAAGAAGCCTGGCTCAACACAACTCTCGTGGTGGACACAGGGGCAGATACACAGAAAATTCCCAAGAGTGGTGTCAAAGGTCGGCTAAGACCTAATGGGATTCAACATAACAGCACCTCGGAAGGTTAGATGTGAACCTTAATGGGCACTGAGGTTATGTTCATGGGGGGGCAACTCAGAAAAGGAGGGTGGGAACTGCTGCATCATTCAAACAGTCTCATCCCTGTCAACAAGAATTTTTAATGGTGAGAATGACAAGAGAGAACACCCAATGGCCAATGTGCCTTCCTTGTAGACAATTCAATTCAGAAAGTCAGAGCTAACATCTGTGGACCTTTTAGTTGTTACCCAACTTCATGTATGTGGAGCTAAACATACATGGATATATCCATTTTTTAAGTATACATTCTGCCTTTTTTTTTTAACTTGTAATACCATGACTGCTTACCATGGCATTAGCTATTCTATCCCCTCGTGTTTAATGAGCTCATAGCATTTGATTTCAGGGAAGGATCAAATATACACAATTATATTTTTATTTTGCTAAAGGGTCTGTTCAAAACTAAAGTGCAGGCCCTACCCTGCCACCAGGCTCTGGTCCTTTGCCTTTGTGACTCAAGGCATGCTGATTTGCCCTGGAAAAATGACAACATTTATTGTCTAGTCCTGTGATTAAGTCCTGCATGTACAAAGTTTTCCACACAAGCCACCCACCCCCTCCACAGACCCCTCTGCATGCTCCCCTGTCTCTATTCTCCCTGCCAGTGTCTTCCATTCCTGTGGCATTGGGGAGTCACAACATGGCTGTTGGTGGCCACTAGCTAGACAATGCTGGGGAGGGGGCGGGGGATCCCGAGAGACTTCCTGAGGAAATGGAGGCAGCAGAGTGGGGCCGAGCTTGAGAGAAGGGCCTCAGGCTGGGAGACGGTGGCCCTTGGGTGACTCAGAATCCTTTGAGGCATAGGTTTATCTTCAGGATGAATGGAGCCTCTTAGCATCCTGCAAAGCCCTCTCACAACTTGTCCCTGTTCCTAGCTCCTCACCCTCAGGCTGGAGATTTACACCATTCTGCCTGCTACCCATGGCCTACGCAGTCCTCTCCTTGGGCAGTAAGTAGCTCCATAGGAGTCAGGGACACTGGCAAGGAGAGTAGAGACAGATGGGGGCATCCTGGATGGCCTCTGGGGAGTACAACAAAGGCAAGTAGTGAGGAGGGGCAGCTACAGAACTGCAGGGGGCCTGCATGGAAAATATTTCTCTCCCACATTATAGGACTTAAGCACAAGTTTAAGGCTGGACAATTAACAAATGTTCTATTTCAAAAGACATTTAAAAACCATAAGTGATTTGTCTCCTCTGAGCACGAGTAGCTTCCCATCAATAGCAATCTCTTTGCATTTCTCTATGTCCAGCAGGCCATGCACATGAAGACGACAGCGCATGGAGCACAGTAAATATTTAGCTTAGCTCTTTATAGCTTAGCTCTTTACAGCTCAAGGACAGAGCCTTTGAAGTTCCCAAGAATGACTTTTGGACAAGGAGCTGGGCCCCTCCTTCACAAGAGGAGAAAAAGCTACCTACTTCACATCTGAATGCTTGGTGCAGCCTTTGTTTGTCGCCTGGCACGCATCGGGGAAAAATGCTCAGTACCTAATGTACTTCTTACTAAAGAATGACAGCCCTTCACGCGTCTCTCAGGCTTGATTAAATAAATTCAGAAATGTGTCTGCAAATCATTTTACTTTCTTCTGAGGAGAAGAAATGCTAATTGCTTCCATTCTAATTAGGGAGTGTTTAAGAACGAAACCCACCAAGCCTGGGGTCATTATGTTTCCTACCACTGCAAATGAGGGTCTTTGGATCAGAGAGAAATGTAGCAAGCAAAGTGGAACCCATACAAACACACTAAGAGGTAGGGGTGTACAGCCCACATCCACCCACAACTGCACTGTGAAAAAATGTCCAGGAACCTAGCAGGGTACCACAGAGACCCTCCGGCTCTGTTGATCTTAGAGTATATGCCAGCTCCTGCTGCCCCTAATGTGTGTCAGAGTCTAACTGGGCTCCAGAGGGCTTACAGTGGCTGATTCTCGAGAAGTAGAGTACCAGGCCTTCTAAGACACCTGTGGGAGGACTCAAATTGCCAATCTTTTGGAAAGCAGCTGAGTGTTGAATCATTTGCATCACCCTGGGACTTAATCTTGTTGTTAAAGCTGGTGTTGCTGGGATTCCAACTCCTGACGACCCCACATCTAAAATTGAGCTGCTCTAGGGGGGCGTTGAAGGCTGGGACCGTCTAGAAGCAAGCAGATCACCAGGTCTGTTGTCCAAGGCGCCTGTGGGTGGGTTCAAACCATCTTTTTGGCTAGCTGAGTGCTTAACCATTTGTATCACCTAGGAACTCTTGTCCTGGTGTGTGGCTCTGTAAGATAAGCTCTGGACTGCTAACCACAAGGTTGGCAGTTTAAACCCAACAGTCGCTCCTTGGAAACCCTATACAGGGTTGCGATGAGTTGGAACACCAGGGACTCATAAAAATTTAAGAATCTTACCTTCATACATTCCATCCCACATCTCTATTGGCATCGATTTTCATATGAATGTAGTACTTTGGAGTGATGTGATGCTATGTCTGGCCACCCTCTCGGGAAAAGACTCACAGACTTACTGCTTCTTTCAACGCCAAACTCTTTTCCGCTGAGAATATGGTGCAGGAGACTTTTCATATCGAAAGGGCTGAGGTTCATCAAACTTTCAGAAGCTTCTTCTCCTAAAAGCAAACATACTTTAAGTGTCCAACCCACAAGGCTGGTGAGAGGTGAGGACAGAGCTGGGTGGCCCTGGGTTTGGTGGTGGGTCTCCCTATTTCCTAGGGATTCTAAGTATTGCTGACATGTTAATTGTAAATCGTGTCTTTTCTAAATGCTTAGCCACATAACAAACACCGATACTGGGATGCATCTTGCAATGCCTTCTCCCAGTGATATGTTATTAAGTGAGGGAATGGCAGCTCAGAGCAAGGCAGGGGCACTGTGGTGGTTCCCAAGTTAGGAGGAGATTAAACCCCTAGCGACAGAGGGCGTGGTGGGATTTACATTGGTGTGGGAGACCCTGGTCAAGCATCCAGAGCTTTAAAGGCCTGTTTAAGATGGATGTAGGCGTCTCATCCGAGCTGAGGCCGTGGATGGATAAGGGGGTGGGGGTGCAGTGGGTATAGAAGTTGCCGAATAAAAGCAGCGGGCTGAGGTGCCCCTGTATCTCACCTGAGCAGTTCAGGCTCCGTGCCAGCTCTGTGGCCATCACCTGAATGATTAGTCCAATCCGGAGTCGGAGCATCTCCACAAAGAGGCTGGGCTGGGCCCGGACATACATGGCCAAGTAAACCACAATTTCCTGATGACAAAAGAGAGCAGGGACAGCACCTCAGGAACTAGGGGAGGGGACCCCAATAGGCTCCAGAGCTCCTGGGGGAAGAGTACAGCCCGCCTCCCCACCTGTGTGAGGACTGCGATACTGATGTCCTGCCCGCTGGCTTCGTAGATGAGTCTTGTGAGCTCCTCTGGGGGGAGGGGCCTAGGAGAGAGCAGGGGGGTCACAACCCCGGAGAAGCTACCCAAGAGCCCCACTTTCCACACGAGGAGCTCCCAGGTGACACCCCTTCCCAAAGAGCAGATATCTCACCAGTCTGGGCCCTGGAGACTTACGCAGAGATGGTCTTCTCCCGGGGCTCAGGGGGAAGGCCCACCGTGAGCTGCTTCTGGTGTGACAGCAGGTCTGTGCAGGCCTAGGCATTCGGGACAAGGGAGAGGGAACGAGAAGACTGAGGACGATCACTGCCAGTAAGATCAGAACAGTTCCCTGACAAACAATGGACTGGAAAACACCATATTCAGATCCCAGATGAGCAACTGGAGGTAGGGTTGGTCTTGGGGGGGGTCTGTGACCTTCCAATATGTGGCTCTGCAAGGGCCCATGAAGGGAGATTCACTGCCCATCCACTGTAGCCAACACCCTGGACTCCCTGAGACTCACCCAAATTGTGTGGGCCATCATGAGACACAGACTCTAAGGGTCAACAACAGCCTAAAGTACTGGCTCCCCAATTATTCACAAACAGTTAATGTACTTAACTTGTTTTAAAAGGGGTTGTGGAATTTGCAGGGCCCGGGGTGGTTAAGTATGGTCTTGGCATGGTGTATGTGTAGAAATAAGCTCTTACTAAGAGGATACTAGGGCACAGAACACCTCTCTTCTGTTTCAGTAAACCTTCTCCTATGGCTTCCCCCTCTCATCTGCCCTGGGCAGTGGGAGGCCAGGGAGGAGGGCCCACTTCCTTTAAGTGTGACTCAACCCATTCCTCACAAGTAAGGTGACTGTCTCCAGCTTCCCTAACAGAAGTTCTCTAACAGAAGAATGGACGTGGACAAGGGCCCAGGACTAAAGGGAGGACCCAAGGGACAAGCCCTGCACGGTGGCACTGACCTCTGCCAGGACCTCCACTTTCTTCTTGAGCAGGCCTGAGATGTAGCGAATCAAACCCCACTCTTGGTTCAAGCCAGCTTTCCCGTACAACTCGCTGAGGAGGATGTGCACAGTGACCCCATGCTGTCCCGAGAGATTTGTGTCCCAGTTGGGGCCCCTGTCAAGAAACCCAGAAAGATGGTCCTGACCATTGGAAGGTTAGATTCTTGCAACAGAACAAACCTTGCAGGGAGGGGCGTCACTGTGTGCTCTGCCGAGTGCCACTGATGGTCAAGACAAGGTAAGCTCTTGCCCAAGCAGCCTTACGTGTATTTGTGACAGAAGCCTAACGTCAGGCAACAGTACAACCCCAGACTCCTCCAACTGTGGGAGGCCAGCACCCAGCCGGCTGTGAAGGGGAGAGAAGTCGAGTTCTCCACGACCCTGGGCCATGCGGGTGAACACAGGCATGGTCCAGACCTGCTGGAAGGCCAAGAAGGTAAGGAAAAAGCATTGAGAGAACTGAGACAGAAGGAGACTTACTTGATTACATACAGAATGTACAAGATGTCTGCTTGGTCCTGGAGGTTCGAACAATCTTTCAGCTGCTCCACCAGCTTTTCACAGTCCACGTCACCGTGGTCGTCTCGGGGCCACTGGAAATCAACTTCAGGAGCCTGGCAGCATAAAAGCCCCAAAGAGGGGAGAAAGGCAGACAAATGTGTGGGCTTTTAGAAGCGAAAGAAGTGACCCTCCCTCCCCAGCCTCTGGCTATGCTTGTTTCGGGCACTTTGGTGGCGCTTCAGCGTGTTTATATTCCCTCATCACTGAGTCAATGTGCTGTTCAACATCTGTAAGAGACTGCACTGAACAGGTTGATCACGTGTGAGGGTTTTTTTTAAAGTAAGTTTGCCTTTCACTGGAATTTCATTTTAAAGGTGAGAACTTTCTCTTAAAGGACCTATGATTAGAGGACAGTGATTTGAAGCTAGGCCTCTCACCCCAAATCCTGGTGTTTCCTGTAGCAACTACCAGGTCTTGACTACTAGGCTTGGCATATAAGTAAAACCTTTTACTTTTTAAAAAAAAAACAAAAAAACCTTTCACTTTTGACTTTGAGAATTTGAACTCACATTTCTAAAAGGTGGTTGAGGGGGGAAGGGTAGTGGCCCCCAGAAACCACTCTTGAGAAAGCACCTCTTGATTAAATGATCAAATTTGTAAAACAAAACCAAGACCTCATGCCACTTCTGACACCTCTCTCTTTCCAGTCCCAAGAAAGGGAAAGCCTACATATGTGAGTTTTATTGATACAAAACTCAAAAATGAATCTCTGGAGTTGGAAAGCATGCAAGCAATTCCTTTTGGGTGGAAGGGGAGGTGGAGACTGGGAGGGCACAAAGGGCAGCAGTTCACAAGGGGCTACGGATGTGGCCTGGTGGTCACCCACTGGGCTGTATCCCTACACTTTGTGCATTCTTCTTTACAAACACTTTACTTCAATGAAATGTGTTCTGGGAAACAAAACAAGCTGGAAAAATGAATGCAGGTTTAAAACAAGTAAAAATTCAGGTTAAGTCGCAACATTCTCCAACAGAACCTAGCTCTTTCTGTTCATGTGAAAGGAAATCTGGATAGCATAACAGTAAATGAAGGAAACCAATGGGGAACACCCTGCTGTTTTATTCTCTTGATAAACTGTATACCGTTTTCTTTGTTTTCACATCAAGAGCATTAGGAAAATCGGAAAAAAGGCACCATAGTCTGCGGCACAAGTCACCCTAGGGGCTGGTGGGCACAGAGATGGCTGGGCGAGGTGAGGAGTCACTTTATTTCCTCTTGTGCTACACAGGTTCTAATGAATAGGCACAAAGTTAGGAGTCTTTTCTCACCCACAAAATAGAGATGTCTGCACATCAGACTCCAGAAGACAAACAAGTTGGGTTCACTTCAATATCCAGAGCTTCTACTACTAAAGTCCTAGATTATCAAGAAATACAATTTTTTCTTTGGAGTTCAACTATTTTCAGAAGTTGCTGGGACTGAAGGCATCAATGCAGAGCATTTTTTAGCTGTTCTAATACTTTACCTTTTTTAGGAGTGGTTGAGGAGAATCAACAAGGTTCAGTGATTTGCGGTGGGCACTCAGCATTCTAGTTGGCAAAGCCATGGGAACAACTGGAAAACAAAACAAAAAAAAATCAAGAGAAATCTTCTGAGGGATGCATCTGAACTAGGAGAGTAAAGCTGAGAAGTGGAAGACGTAAGATACAGAAAGCAAGAGAGGCAACTGAAAGGGACAAGTAAAGGAACTCTCCAGAATGACAAAGAAGAAAGAACCCAGAGCAGAGCTACATACCAGACCTGGAGGGCAACCAGGCCAGAAGGGGTAGTGAACTTCAGAACTGAGCAAGTGGAATGTCTGCCACCAGCAGGCCCTCTTCCACTGTAGCTTTTGTTTGTTTGTTTGAACCTATTGAAAGTATTCTAGGATGTGTTCTACCAAAACAAAGGACTAACTCAAGACAGGGAAAGACAAGGATTCAGGAAACAGATTTCAACTGAAGACATAAGGCAAAGGAAATTCCAAGATTGCAATAAAGAGAACTCGCACGATGACAGGTATGCAGCCCACACAGGAGGAGACCTGTGAACACCAGGTAGTGGCCCCCAGAGATGCACTACTAGGACTGACGTTGTAGAAATTTGTATTGCGAGATCATTTCAAAGCAAAGCAAATGAAAAAAGCAACTATGCACTTGAGAGAAACAAACAGTACGAATATGCAGAGGAGGAATGGTGTAAGACAGCTAGGCCCTCATCTACACATGAGAAAGTCACTAGATACAGAACAAAATCGATGCATCACCAAACACATGTATAAACCCACTGTTTTGAACACTGGAGACAGAAGTGTCAGAAGAAACATCTACAAGACTTGAAAGTGGCGAAAGCAGCCGCCTCTAGGAGGAGGCCTGAGGAAGTGGGAGCAGAAGGCAGGAAAGATCTGCATTTTGTTGTCAATTAGGATTCTGTAACTTTTATGTCCAAGATTACTTTGATAAAAAAAACAAACTTAATAGGCAGGAAAAAGTTAATAGCATACATGGTACTTCCCAACCCTTTGCTTTTGCCACGACGGAAAGTATATCCCGAGTGGAGTGGACGGCACTGAAAACATGGCGGTCTTCTGTCTTCTTACAGAGAGGGGGCAGGTAACACTTCCATGACGTGCTCCGCAGCAGGTGGTTGATATACTGGTCAAGTTCATCTTGGCTTTCTGTAATTGAACAGGCAAGCCCATGAGCCAGTGAAGACAAGCTGCACAATATTCTAATTGCGTAGAAGTGCCAAGTCAGTGTAGGGGAAGATAACACTCAGACTGATTCATCTGCACATCTACTTCAGCCCCAAAGATGTAAAAAGAGATTGACAAAGATAATATATATGCTTATGTTTGTACTGGAGTCCTGCTGTGGCGCTCTGTTGGTTAATGCACTGGACTGCAAAGTCCACCTGAACTGGGAGGCCTGTGGTTCAAGTTCATCAGCTGCTCATGAAACCAATCATCCAGCCCTTACCTGAATTATAAGTATCTTCTAAATACCCCCCTCTATCAGAATCACTGTCAGGACTTGCACTTCCTTCGCTGGCATCGTCAAACAACTTCTCGTCACAGTCGGGGTCCAGGAAGGTGAGGTACGTGTAGAATGAGGTGGTGAGAAATTCCGAAAGGTACCCCAGTTTCACTCTGCCAAGAAGACTGTGTGTTAGGAAGGCAGGTGGCAGGTGGACACACTTCTGCTATCAATCACAGACTTTTCAACAACCAGAAAGGACATCTGCCAAAATCGAAAGATAGTGACTCCATCCACTGCTGCTGAGTTGATTCTACTCACAGTGGCCCCACTGATAGAGTAAAACTGTCCCATCTGCCATGGGGTTTCCAAGGCAGCCATCTTTATGGAAGCAGACTGCCACCGCTTTCTCCTGAAGAGCTGCTGATACATTCAAACAGCAGTTCAAACTCACCAGCAGCTCCTTGGAAACCCTATACAGGGTGCCGATGGCACTAAACAACAACATAGGACAAAGTAGAATTGCACGTTAAGGTTTCTGAGGTTGGAAATAATAATGGGAGAAGGCCACCTCATCCGTCTCCTAAGGAGCAGCTGGTGGGTTTGAACTGCCAACCCTGTGGTTGCTTAACCCACAGCACCACCAGACTTCATGTCAATGGAAAGGAGTTGGATTTAGGAGGATAAAGACACTGCAAAGGTAGAAGGGTGGTCAATTTCAAAGGGCTTCTGATCACAAGCTACCCCAAGTGGACTTCCAGTTAGAATCCAGTATGCTGGAGAGCCAGGTGTAAAGCTCCTGTGGTTCTCAGCAACGCCCCCCCCCCCCAAATCCTGTGACCTGGGCCAAGGCCCTGCCCCTCTCTAGCTCCCTGTCCAGAAAATAGGACCACAGCCCACCACCCCCCCCCAAATGAGCAAACACACACTGAATAAGAGGCCTGGCAGGAAGCATTCGTTTTACAATGATGAGATTTTGGGGGAGAAAGAACTTATTTTGAAAAAAGGCTCATTATGGGCTCAGAGGACTTTCTCCTGGTTATGATGTTACCCACCTGATGGTACTTCAGGCAAATATCTGATGGTGGATGGAGATGGGAGCTGTGGGGCAGCCCTGGACACGTAGGTGGACTGAGAGGGGCCAGGGGAAGCTTGAAGTGAGGGCCACTTGCTGTCAACAGCAAGTCCTGAAAGCTTCACAAACACCCACCCAATCCTCGAGAGAGATTCCAGTTTCCCATGGGTGGCTGGATTAGATCAACGTTTACTTCCTTTTTACACTGTAACTCCAATGTTCCAAAATTATTAGGAAACATGGGGATAGGGGTTAGCAAAAGAGTTTGAAAAAACAAAACGTCAACATTCGTTTTTAAAAATCACAAATCACCTCGCTCCTCCAAAATAGCCATCCTCTAGTTTTCTAATTGTAGCGAGAACTGCAGAGTGGATATCTGAGCCATCATTTGCTAAGGGAGAAAAGACAAAGTGATGGGTTAGTTTCCCTTATCTAGGAAAACATTGGGGTCGGGGGGCCATACATGGAGATGTCTGCCTCAACACACTGATTAAAATACCTATGGCATAGAAGATTCCCAAGATCTAAGGCACGCCCCCTAGTACACTTATTAACTTTTTCCATGGGAGCTTTTGAAGTCTTTTGGAAAGAGCCCAGCCCAACATTGGGGAGTGTATCAGGCAGCTTAAATGGAGCAGTTACTGAGCATGGTGTGGGTGATGGGAAAGGTGAGCGTGGGTCTGCCCGTCATCCGCCAGCAGGTGCACAGATGGGCCAGCTCAATCCGCAGCATTTCCACGATCATCTCATTGTCCAGGGCCAGGTAGAAGTGATGCTGGTCGGTGAACTGAAAGCCAAAACATGCCAGGTAAAAGCCAAATGTCATTTCTCTGGAAACGACACAAGTTGTCAGTCATGGCTGCACTACTTCTTGGATTTTGTTGCTAGGGAAAGGCTCGGTCCTGGCTTTAATCTGTCTCATCATGGAGCTACTTGCCTCACAAGCAGACAAATCCACCTGCTGCCTGCAGAGAGCCACCACAACAACTGTGTGGAAGTGGAAGGTGTGCTCCACCACACATGTGCAGCTAGCTCCCTTCCCACCTCTGCTATCCCGGAAAGCAAACCACTAACTCCTAAGTCCTCCTCCTTCTGGGCTGCTGGGAGGCAACCTGGTTTACCTGATGGGTGACCTTGCTAATACGGACTAGAGATACTGTTGACTGATGCTGGTGACAATCCATGCTCGGCTCTGGACTGAAACTCATTACCAGAGGAACTAACTCACATGATTTGGGTGAGCAGAAGGGGTGAGGTGGAAAAGCTCACAGACAACTTCATGCCCAGGTATGTGGGGAATGCGCTCCATGTGAACAAAGTTGTCTTCCTAGCTGTGCAAATGGAGGGAAAATGTTTGCAATGCACTTCCGTGGGACGAGCCTTTTCTTTTGGAAGTGAAAAACTTGCAATAAGACTTCCATAATCAGAAGCCAAAGCCGAATCTACAGTATCCTGGGCTGGAGCGGAAAATCAGAGAGCATGACGACAGCCTAGCAAGCACTGGGGAGTAGTGTCACCGTCAGGAGGATAAAGTGACATGTCACTCACAGATTGGTAGAGTGGTGTGTCATGAGTACTCATGATAGCCGTGAGACCCATTCAATGCATGCCAATAAATGTTTATTGAACACCTACTGTCTGTAAGCAAAAACCTGTGCTGGGAACTGGATGTCACCTTCTATGTCTCTATGTGAACATCTGCATGCATCATTAGCCAGGCTCAAGTTCAAGGAGAAATGCCCACCAGATAGAGAAGAGAGCTGAACAAAAGGATGCTGGCTGTTTGGCTCACCTGGGGTGTGAATGTAAAGATCTGGTTCCTAATCACATAGAGCTTAGATGTGCCAAGGACACCAATGTGACGATATGGTCGCCCGCTCAATCTCATATTCTTGTTGCGTCCTATTTGAAAATCAAAGAGAAAATGGAGTTACCATAAATATGGTTAAAGATGAATCTACGTGATTTAGGGTGTAAGGCTGGGCTTATTTTGATGTTACATAACCCACTTTGGGACCTTGGTTTTTCTAAAATGGAACAAGGCTGAAGCTAAAAAAAAAAATCCAAACCCCTTCCCCTTCTTTTCATGCGTGTACAAACAGCAGCAGTCTAACACCCCATTGGAATAAAACTATTAGGAGAGCTCTGTAAATGCTTAATTTTCATTTATTTAGCACTGCGCCATCATACTCATCCCCCAGCAGTTGATAGTACTACAGTTAAAAACAACCAAAGCACAAATGAAAGTTCTGCTTGTGAACTTTCAAACACGGGCTCCTTAGTTTGCAGCCGAGGCGGCTCTTGCCCACTCCCGCCGCTGCCCAGGGTACCTCCTGACAGGACGAATGTGAGAAAAGCAGGCCCAGCGGTTGTGCTGCCCTTTCCAAGTCTGGAGCGCTTGCACATGTCACAGCTCCCCATCCGACCCCAAGCCTGGAGCTGAGATTCCCCCTTGTCAACCATGCTCTGATCCATTCCCAAACCTACCAAGCTTGGCATATATGTGGCTAAGAATCCGGCCAGGCTGGACACGAATTGGATGAATGTCAGCAATACTCTGAACACTTATCCCATGTTTCCTCAACAGCTCCTTAATGTGATTGTTTTCGGCCAAAACACTGACTGCGGACAAGAAGGGAGACTGCGTTAGTCTAGGACTTGGATTCGGGTGCAGCCTCACATCACGTATTGTTCTCTTCCTCGGACCGGACCTGAGAGCCCCACATCAGTGGGCTCGGTCATGACCAGTGTGCTTAGAAAACCCCAGTGCTCATCCTGCTGCGGCACTGCCTGCTTCTCTCTGTCCCCTCCTCCCTGTGATGCCCACCATGCAGAGTTGTAAGTGTCCTCCATGTGCAATGGTCTGAGGAGAAACTTGAAGAAATCATAATCAATAGGTCCCAAGCCAAATTCCCCAGCTAGTCAGCCATGCTGCCATCCTCTGAGCCTGCATGGGTTCTACAAGTGGATTCTTTCCTCACAGCAGACTGGGGAGGTCCTTGGGGGGCCAGGAAGTGCTTGTGCCCCTGGCCCCAGAGGACAGCATGAGTAGGTTTCTACTTCACTGGTTGCCAGGACTGGGGAGTAGGCAGCTGGCACGGGACAGCCTGGCCCACCCACATCCACAACACTGGGCCCGGTCTGGTCCCACACCCCCTGGCTCCATCTGCAGTGCATAACAGGGGGTGCTCGGCTCTCCAGCAGGAGATCAGAGTGCCTGGGACGTGGGAGCCTGGGTGGGGGGCAGCGTGTCCACCTGGGGCCATCTTGGCGAGAAGGGACAGTGTGTGGACAAAGGGTAGGTGTTCTGGTGAGAGCAGTCCTGGTCACAGGAAAAGTGGCTGGTAGGGAGGCCGCAGCAGAGAGCCTGCTGGGAAGTGTAGGGCTGGTAGGCACAGTGGTCAGACCAGAGAAGAGGCTCAGCTACTGTTAAGGTGGCTGCGAACCGTCACTACTGTTCCCATAAACTGACAAGGCCTGAACCTATCATGTGTACAAATGCCACTGAGTCCTGAATGTCACCCCCTGATATTTACCTAACACGTGATACGTATCACAGTATATTACTATCTACTATCATATTGAAAGTGCCATGGGCTGCCAAAAGAACCAATAGATCCATTTTGGAAGAAGTGCAGCCAGAGTGCTCCTTGGAGGCCAGGATGGCCAAACTTCATCTCTCATCCTTCGGACATATTGTCAGGAGGGACCAGTCGCTGAAGAAGGATATCATGTTTGGGAAGATGGAGGGTCAGAGAAAAAGAGGAAGACCTCAATGAGATGGATTGGCCAAGTGACAGCATTGATGGACTCAAGCGTGGCAACAGTAGTGAGGCTGGGCCAGGAACGGGCAGTGTTTCGTTCTGCTGTGCACAGGGTAGCTATGGGTCGGTACCAACTCGATGGCACCTAACAATGACAACAACAAATCTAATCTGATCTTCCCAAACAATGGCCAGTTGTGGCTGAAAAGGGGCTAGAAACTCATCCCCAGGTCCCAGTAAAGGCCTGGTGGGTGGCTTCCCTACACATCTGTCTTCTCTGGAACTCCCACTGACATGTGGGCATCACAGCTGTCAAAGCAGACGTTCGTTCTCTGTTTTAGAGAGCTGCTGTAGCCAGACTGCAGTACCTTGAATTTATGTTATGGATTTTCTATCCAAAGTCTTCTTGATTCCCTCCAAGTGATTGGGTGGGACCATGCAAATAAGGTATACAGGAGTCTAAGGTTGGGATTGTTAAGTTTTGCCCTCCAGTTAGGTTTAGAAGTAGCCATCTCAGAAGCAGGAACAAATGACCTCAGGACTACCAAGACAGAGAAGCATGAGTGGTGCGTGACACCCCTACTTAGAAAAGCAGCAACAGCAGAGATGATGGCAAAGATGGTGGCATGGAGAGACCGAGCAGCTTTAGGCTCTGGGCCTATGGACTGAGGAAAGCTGACTGCCTACAGGCAGGAGACTGGTTTGAAGAATGTGCCCTGTGAGCATTCACAGCCTGGCTAAAAGACCTTTGTAACATTTGCCTGAGCAAGGCAGGTGCCAAGGGACCACAGGGCTAAGAGGCCGAAGACAAGAGTGAGGCGTGCCTGCACTATGGCAAACAAGAGGCGTTCCTAACTGCAGAGCTGCTGCATCCTGAATTTTTCTGATACTGAATTGTACTCCGTTCACTTCCCAATAAACCCCATAATTGTGAATACTGTTATAAATTCTGGGTGGCCACTGCAACGGATGATGGAACCCAGATATGAAGCAGAGAGAGCTGTGGGAGGGATGGCTGGGGTCAGAAGAGGGTAAAGAAGGCTGGAGGGTGGAAGCATGTCTGACCTCTGCTTCACAGGAACTGGCCTTGGGCTGATTTTGATTTTGAGTTTGATTGTCTTTCCCTCTTATGAAGCCAGGGGCAGTTAGATCCCCACATGGTCTCTGCATGGCAGCAGACACAGTTCTGAAACTGCACTTTCCTTTACTAAATATCAGCTCTGCTGACAGTTTCTTTTCTGGTCTATTCTCTTACATTTTATTAAGTGTTGGTCAGGAGCCAGGGACGTGGCCTAGCCCGCAGGGTGGCATACCTGTGCTAGGTTAAGTGCATGGACCCCAGGAGCAGGCTGTGAGCCAGCGAGCCAGCAGGAAGTCAGAAACGAGACCGTGAGAGAGCTAACCCCTCTCAGCCTCTAAGATGAGACTGAAGATAACCATGACCACAATGTTTACCTATCATTACACTGTGACAGGTGGGTATGCCTGGGGGGGGGGGCACTATTGTCTTGCTTCATTGTGGACACACATGCACAAAGAGGCAATGGTGCCAAAGACCAATACCTTTCATTTGTTCACTATTTGCTTTCAATGTATTAGTGCAGAGTGCTAATCAACATGGTGCTACTAGAGGGATACAGGCCTTGCCCTGAAGAAACATGGCTACGATTCAAAAAGTTCTAGGAGGCAGGAGACAAGGTTTGGTGTCTCCCAGCCAAGTCCTCTTACTGAATCCTCCAAACAAGCCTGTGAGGGGAGGCATGTTCTCCAGGATGTTTGGATAAGGACCTGAGGCAGAACTCGAGCTGCCCTTGGCCCTTCTCAGGAGGAGGAGCTGCCTGGAGAGTAAGGTGAAGGTCAGCCAAAATGTGGACCTGGAGCTGGGAACAGAAGGCAGAACTCACAAGGAGGAACAACTCAACCCTCACCTGTGTCTTGAGTTTTCATCAGAATCTGGTTCTATTTTCCAAAGAATAATAGGTATGAAAAATGATGCTCAATGAATTACTTGTGCCCCAGATGGAATCAAGGTTTAGAAAACAAGTGCTTTGTAGAAATTAAATTTGTGGCTGAGAAGAATATTGCCTTTGGGAGCTACTGAGTTACATAAGGCATTTCACAGAGCTGTACACACTAAAGCACTTATTTTAATTAAATAAGAAACTAGGGAACAATTAAATTAAAAATAGCACTGCCTTTTGAAAGTTAAATATGAATAGTAAACATGCTCACAAACCTTGTACTACAACATCAGGTTTGACTGAAGTGGAAAATCTTCTATTTAAGGGATCAATTTCACCAGTGGCCAGGAAACCCTACAAAAAGAGGAGTATTAGCGCAAGGAACTATCGATTACCTAAACTCTCCCCTCAAAGCTGCATTTCAGAATATGATTCTTTGGAGCTCACTGGATGCAGTATGTCCTCCCTTAACATTTTTTTCAAGTCAAATGAACCATTCCCAGTTGCCACTGTGGGCATGTACTAAAGTTTTGGCAGCTAGCCTCCCAAGAAGGCACCCTGGTGGGGTCGCGGTTAAGTGTTTAGCTGCTAACCGAAAGGTCAGTGGTTTGAGCCCACCAGCAGCTCCATGGGAGAAAGATGGCAGCCTTGGAATCCCCATGGGGCAGTTCTGTCCTAAAGGGTCGTGATGAGTCAGTCAGAGCGATTCGATGGCAACAGGTTAACCTCCTGGGTTAATCAACTACTCCCCCATGTTGTGAGCCAGTGACGATGGTTATTTCCTGAGCCCTAACTGTGTGCTGGGTATAGTGGAGAGTGCTTTGTGAGGGGGGCATGACTATCAGCACCATTCCACAGGTGCCCAAGGTTAAGTGAAGAGCAGGAACCTGACCAAAGGCTGACCATCCTGAAGTACCTGAAACCCCTGCCTGCCACCAATGTGCCCCTTCATTGAATATGGATCTCACATTTTCTACAAGTGGTCCATGGCCGAAGTCCCAAGAGACGAATACGGTGCTCGGGGAGTCCTGAGGGCAAACTAGATTGAATGCTGAGCCCAGACGAAAACCTTCTATAGTAACGGTGGACCAGACACAGAAACCAAAGCTGCAAGGTATGGCAGAGCTGATCAAGTCCAACTGTTTTCCTTTACAAATGAGGCAACCGAGGCTTAGAGAGTATTAAGCAACCTGCCCTAAGTTACAGCTAGTCAGAGGCAGGGTGGCTTTCCTTACTAAGACAGACCAAGCTGAAGCCATGGTCTGTACCCTAAGGGCATGTCCTAGGAACTGGGGAGAAGAGCAGCGCCACCTCAGCAGTGAGTGCTCCTCAGGCCCTCCACAGTGAGACTGATCACGGACAGCCCGCCTCCAAAGCCCTCCTTCTGGGCCCTGGTGATGGCTGAGCCCTCAGATCCACTCCCCCACACTTAGCACTGGTGGCTCACAAGCATTTCCATTTAAGCCTGGGAGCAGTAAGCCAATGCTTAATAAATAGAAGTTGCTGGCAGTCGACTTTCTGGGTAAGGTATTGTAGGTGTTCTGAGTGAACTCCTGGTGGTGTGCTAATGCTGGCTGAAGACACTTTCCGGATTCTGCTGACCATCAGCTCCAATGGGTCCCAGGCACAGGCCAGGAACACTGACAGGAGGCGGGAGAGGGAGAAGTTGACAAGCAGCGGACACCCACAGGCCCAGAAGTCAGGTCTCGAGACCAGTGAAGCCCAGGGGCCTTTAAAAAGGTCTGACAATGCAAGAGACACACCCAGCTGGGGACCCCGCAGTGTGCCTTGGAACAGTCTCCTTACCTCTGCCAACAGTGAGCTAAGGATGTACAAGGACTGGCCCCACAGGTGGGGCAGCTTGCCCAGAGGTACTCTGTCTACCGTGTGAGGCTTCTTATATTCTTCATCCACCTGGCAAAGAGGACAAAATGTCAGAGTAAGGTGAGGTTCCTTTCATTGGGGAACATACTGAAAATGTACCGAGTGCCACCCAATGTGTCCCCTCACACATCCAATCGCCCAGGCCAGCTCCATGCAATGCCCACAGGGCATATGCAGGCCTGGGGAGGCTAGGAGTCAGATACTGGGGGCCCCACAGTAATAAGCAGTGGAGGCAGCACTAGAATCTGGGCTGGTTCCAGGCCCACACCACTCCCACAAAACATTCACAGCCAGAAGCAAAGACACAGGCTCTGAAGGTGTGGCCTGTCTCTGCACTGCACGATTCTGGACAAGGAGTTCTCGGGCTCAAACACATTTGCTGTTATCCTGGACAACATGATCAAAAACATAGGCCTAACAACATGGCAGGAGTCCCTGGTATGGTGCTGTAAAATAAGCACCGGATCGCAAGGTCAGTTTGAACCGCAGGATTGACGGTTGAAACTCACCAGCCGCTCCTCAGAAACCCTATGAGTTAAGAGCTGATTCGACAGCATTTCACAACAATGCCGCCATGGCAGCGTTTATCAAACAAGGGTGTATCAACTCTACGTGCCCATATGAAGAATTACCAGTAGGTGGCGCTATTTACTGAAGAACTGCAATCGGACTGCTACTCCTTGACTCTCCATCGACGTTAAGCGCTATGGAGTCGGTTCCGATTCCTAGCGAACCTATATAGGGTTTCTGAGGAGCGGCTTGTGAATTTGAACCACTGATCTTATGGTTAGCAGTCCAGTGCTTAGCCTACAGAGCTATACCAGGACTCCACATTAGTTTCTCAAAAAGCTGAAGCAACTGGGGGCTTATGTCTAATCAAACCAAGAGACTGTTTTCATTCTGAGGGACATAGTAACTTTCGTTTCTAAACTCCATGCAGGCCTTTGGCTCTTTATGCACCATTACATTGGTTAGGGCTTGCTATCAGTTGCTGTGGAATGACATGGTGACCCCATGTGCATCATACTAGAACTGGGCTCTACAAGGTTTTCAGTGAATGATTTCTTTCGAAGTAGATTACCAGGACTTTCTTTCAAGTCACCTCTGGAAGGACTTGAACCAACCAACAACCCTTTGGTTAGCAGCCATGCATGTTAACCTTTTGAATGATCCAGGGACGGGGAAATGTTAGTGGCCTTTTTTTTTTTTTTTTTTCCTTCAGAAAGCTTGTCGATAGAAGGAAATGAGAGACAGTTATCCTTCTGCAAGGAGAAAAAGTGCATGCTGGAAGGGCACATTTTCTGCTTGTGGAGCAGCCAATAACCTTAGCAACATATTTACTAAACGTTTTGAAATGTGCCATATTAGTAAATATTAAGGAAATCTAAGGTACATAATCTAAACAGAATTAAACCTCACCAGTACTTGAAGTAGAAATCAAACGATGTATTGCATTAGGCAAATCTACTGTACAAGATGTTTTTAAAGAGCAAAGATGTCAGTTTGAGGACTAAGGTGAGCTGATCCAAGCCATAGTATTTTTAATAACCTCATATGAATGTGAAAGCTGAACAGTAAAGAAGAAAGACCGTAGAAGAATTGATGCATTTGAGTTGTGGTGTTGGAGGAGAATATTGAAAGTGCCATGGACTGCCAAAAGAAGAAACAGATCTGTGTTGGAAGAAGTGCAGCCAGAATGCTCCTTGGAGGCCAGGATGGCCAAACTTCGTCTCTAATAGTTTGGACATATTGTCAGGAGGGACCAATCACTGAAGAAGGATATCATGTTTGGTAAGGTGGAGGGTCAGAGAAAAAAAGGAAGACCCCAACGAGATGGATTGGCCAAGTGGCAGCATCAATGGGCTCAAGTGTAGCAACAGTAGTGAGGTTGGCCCAGGATCGGGCAGTGTTTCGTTCTGCTGTGCATAAGGTCTCTGAGTCGGTACTGACTCGATGGCACCTAACAACATCAACAAGTACTTGAAGTAACCCTGATAATGCAGTGGGTTGAGCACTGGACTGCTAACTTGAAAGCTTGAACCCACCAGCCACTCTGAGAAAAAAAGTAGCAGTCTGCTTCCGTAAAGCTTTAGTCTTAGACACCCTCTGGAACAGTTCTCCTCTGCTCTGTAAGGTCACTATGAGTTGGAATCAATTTGATGGCAGTGGGTTTATTTGTTGTTATTCATACTCAAATAACCCAATAAAACAATGATGCGGAAGGAAATTCTCCAAACTACCAGAGTGGTTTTCTTCATTGTCCGCTTTATGTCGTCCCTGGATGCTTTGCAGTACGCAATGCTCTGACAGACAGTACCTTAGAGCTATGTGACAAATTAGTAGTGTTAAGAGAAACCGCAAAGACCTAGGAGAAGCACTCGATATAAAGAACAGGAGACAAGACATCCAGGTCAAAAGACTGCCTTGTTCTGCCTTCATCCCACCCTGAGCCGTCTGAATTGCTTGCTTTCTACCTCGGCTCTGCCTTACCTGCTCCCTGACTAGCTCCTCTGACCCCCGTCCTCCCCCAACTAGATGGCCAGCCTATGGAGACCAAGATGATGCTGGAGCCACTTCTGTGTCCCGGTCACTTTGATGGGCATAGTCTCCTTTGTCCTAGCAGGGTGACAGAGAGGCCTGTGTAGGGTGGTTGAGGAAAGATGTGAGGTAGACTCAGGCCGTAGGCCCTGGACAGGAATGCAGCCACTCCTCGGATGAGGCCCCTTTCCTGACTTGCACAAAGATGCCATCTGGGCCTGTGGGAGTCCTGTGTGCTACTGATGTGATGAATGACCCTTCCAGCTGTCATCTGGAAGCAGCCACCACAAAATGTGGTCAACATCAAAGTGCTCCAAGTTTGGTGCCAAGCACCCAAGTGTACACATAGAGGAAGGGAAGGTTGCAATGACAGAGAAACCCAGAGGTTTGAGTGGAGCTTGCTGTGTGCCGTCCAATCTGCTCCAACTCAGTGACTCTGTATACGGTTTCCAAGACTGCAAATCTTTACAGGAGCAGAAAACCTCACTTTTCTCATGTGGATTTGAACTGCTGAGCTTGTGGTTAGCAGCCCAACACATAACCGACTTCACCACCAGGTTAGATGAGAAAAAGTCTTCACAGACACTTGTTTGAATGTGTGGCCAGCACTATGTATCAAAAAGAAAAGTGTGGCTTATAACACCTAACACTTACTATAAAACCCCAAACCCAAGCCAAGCCAAGCCACTGCCATCAAGGAGATTCCGACTCATAGTGAGCTACAAGACAGAGCAGAACTGTCCGTAAGGGTTCTGTGACTGTCTATCTTTGCGAGAGCAGACAGTCTCATCTTTATTCCTTGGAGTAGCTGGTAGGTTTGAACCATCGATTGTGGATGTGTAATGCCTTGTACCTCCAGGGTTCCTTATTATAACCACTAAAACAAACCTTTCAGTAGAGCAAGAATGGTTATTGTCTAACTGTCTCCCATAAAACAGGTAAAACACCTCCAGTCGTCTATTTTTATTTGCTCTGCTTCCAGTTTACAAGTAACTTCTGATCACTCATTTGGTTTTGCTAAATGCCTCAGTTCCAGAAAAGCAGTAACCTGAGTAGGGGCTGTGAATATCTAGTGGCGCACATACATCACACAGAGTAGAATGAATGCATCTGGAGGAAACTAAAAATAATCTTAGGGCATCTTCTTGGAACTGGACCGTTGTTCTCCTCCTATATAGGGTCACTATGAGTCAGAACCAACTCGATGGTACTTAACAACACAAGTGTAGAACACAGGAGCACTAGTGGTGTAGTGGGTTGAGCACTGGGCCTCTAAAAGGTCATTGGTTCAAACTCACCAGTCGCTCTGTGGGAGGAAGATGAGGCAATCTGTTCTAATAAAGATTTACAGTCTCAGAAAGCACAGGTGGCAGTTCTCTGTCCTCTAGGGATGCTAGGAGTTCAAACTGACTTGCTGGCAGTAGGTTTTTTGTTTGTTTGTTTGTTCTTTTTAAATGTAGAACAGCATCTAACACATCAATGCTCAAACCGTAGCATGGGAACTGTCTGGAGCCCAGGAAGAGATTCTTGACAATCTGACTTCTTTTTTCTCCTAAGGACAGTGTGCACACCTGTCTCTGTGCTGTCAGGGTACCTCTGCAGGGCCCACGGTCCAGCACACTCCATGGATTTTTCTCAAGTCCTATGGACTTGCGAAGGGAATGCAGTGGTTCTATAGGATAAGCACTGGACTGCGAACCACAAGGTCAGCAGTTCAAGCCCATCAGACACTCTGTGGGAGAAAGATGAAGCTTTCTGCTCTTACAAAGATTTACAGTCTCAGAAACCCTATACAGGGTTGCTATGCGTCAGAACTGACTTATGAAAGATAACAACAGCAACGTACATGCGCTGGACAGGAACTCCCTAGCGCTTTAGAAGACACTTCAGGAGAAAGTGTGAAGTAAGCCTAAAAGGGGGTGTGAAAACACCAAATGGCCAATCACCAAATCCCTTAGTTCTAGAGAGCAGCGCAAAGGGCTATGGACCATGGGGTTGGTTACCTTGTCAGGTGGGATGGCATACAGTTCCGGCATCAGGTGGATCCCATTTTTGCCTCGAATTAATATTCCCTCCAGGGCCTCTCGGTACTCTTGGACCTGGAAGATAGCCCCAAACAGCACAGCCTGAAGGAGGTCTTACTCTCAGTGCTGGGACAACCAACAGAGTAGAAGCAGGGCACAGGAGAAGACTGCACAGATTCTTGCAGCTTGGGTGAGAACTGCGTTCACGGTTGCTCTTGTCCTGGGTGTGTTTGAGGGAGAGGGGTGCAGCACTCCATCATGCCATATCCATTTCTTCCTCACCTCTGCACCGCGTACCAGACATCCTTCCAGGGCTGTCTTTAATTTGTTAAGTTAAACACTTCACTCTTCAATAATACTTTGCAAATTGAAACTTCTTCATCTCACCAAAAAGATTATAAACTTCTTGAGGTGGAGGTCATATATATTTTAAGCTGCATATCCCATTTCCACCTATGGGTAGTTTTGCATTTCAAAAACACTCATTCAAATATTTATGGCTCAAGGTACACAGTAAAACCTGTGAATGCCAGAACCTACGTAAGTCAGAAACCTGTCAGAGAAGGAAAACTGAAGTATTTCCCACTAAAACATGAACTAGCGAAGTAGTTAGTGCACGAGCACACCCTGTCAAAAGTGGAAAACTTGCAAGACCCAGAAAAATAAGCAGTCCTGTTGCGATCCGGCTCTCAGGTTTCTATTTGCTGAACAATCTTGATGGAACCCAAAGAACTGTGTGTACTATGATCTGCATACACCAATTCTCAGGGTCCACAACTCAAAATAATGAAAATAACAGCTACTGAGCAAGCGTCCCATTAAACTAAAAAACCATAATCTAAGCCTAGCTTTTAAAAAGGAATTCTGGTGTGGCGCTGCAGGTTAATGCACTGGATCACAAAGTTGGTTTGAACTACAAGGTTGGGAGTTCAAGCTCACCAGCAACTCCTTGGAAACCCTATATGGTGGTGGTGGTGGTGATGTGCCATCGAGTCGGTTCCGACCCATAGCGACCCTGTACAGGGGGAAACCCTATATAGTGTTGCTATAAGTTGGAACCAACTTGACGGCACTTTACAATAACAACAATCTTTTAAACGGACAAAGAAGGCATTATATATATATTTTTCAACAATAAAAAAAACTTAGAAAAGGAAAAAGGAAGAGATAAACCCTTAGCTAACCACCAAGCTATTTAACACATTTTCCTTTGTTGTTGTTGGGAAGTGCCATTGAGTTGATTACGACCCATAGCAACCCTGTATAGGGTTTCCAAGAAGCGACTGGTGAGCTTGAATCGCTGACCTTCTGGATCAAACCCACTTTGCCGTCCAGCGCGTTAACCCACAGCGCCGCTCATATTCCTTTTTGTTTAAAATTTATGGATGACAAAGCACGGCCACTTTTTTCCAAACTATTCTGAGGCAACCAGTAGAGGAGCCAGCAGAGATTTACAGAACCAACTAACTAATAAGCACAGGCACTTCTTTCTTGTGGGTGTTTTGGTTTGTTTTTCTGATAATTGGTAAGCCCATTCACAACTGAAATTCAAGCACAATCCTTTCGAGTTCTTTCAGTTCTAGGATAAAAAGACATCAAAGAAATCACTTGAGAAAATCACTAAAGCAGAAGAGGAAGAAGCAATGATGGGGGAAGGCGGGTTCAAGCGTGTTGCCAGCTCCAAAGCCCTCAGCATTCATCTCTGAGCAGGGGCCGCTTTCAAAAGCGAAAATCCATCTAAGATTGTTCTCATAGCAACCCTGTACGGGATTTCCAAGGCTATAAATCTTTATGGGAGCAGAAAGCCTCTTGAAGCAGCTAGTGGATTCAAACTATGGACTTTTGGTTAGCAGCCCAACATATAATCACTCCACCACTAGGGCTCCTACATAGGACCGGATTATCCAGTGAACTGGATCTAGAGAAACTGCCCCTACCAGTCCTCTGCCAGGGAAGCGGGAGATTAAATACAGTGTGAGCCCTAATGCTTGGGGAGCTGGAGGAGCACATAAAAAGAGCATCTCACCCAGTTTAGAGGATTTGAAAAGGCTTCATGAAAGAAAAACCACAATGAGCCAAGTGAAGAAGACAGGGCAGTTGGCGATGGAAATAATGTTCTAGCTATTTGAGAAGAGGGGAGATAGCATGGCCTCTTTAAAGGACTGAAAGACTTGAGTGTGCTTGGATCACAGAACTCAAGAAATGAGCAAAATGGTAAAAAAAAAAAAAAAAAAGTATGCTAAAGTAATGAACTCAAAGGCTAAATCTTACTGGGTTCCAGAAAAACACATGAAGAGTGTGAACCTTCTCCCAAAGGTAATCACAAAGTGAGTCAAGACTTTCAAGTAAGGCAGTTGTTGTTGTTGTCAGGTGCCATCGAGTCGGAACCGACCCATAGCGACCCCATGCACAGCAGAACGAAAAAATGTCCGATCCTGGGCCAACCTCACTACCGCTGCCACACTTGA